GATACTCTTAATGAATAGTGTCAATTTAATTTGTTTCTGTGTTACTTTTTCTAAAATGAAACATTAATCTATTTTTTTTATGATTAGTGATTGCAGATTTTGATTTATTATTGTAAATGGTCTGCTGAAAGCTATTGCATGGTTTTTCCTATAGTTGCTGTCTGTATGTCATACCTTGCTATCTTTGGTGGATTATTGCTTAGATAAAATCAATAACAAGCCAACTGAAGGTTTTAATATGTTCAGTAAATCATCCAGACAGATTCAATAAACAGTATACAGGTAAGGATCAAAGTGCACAATGAAGTACGATAACCTATTGTTTTCAATCAGACTTCATTTGACGGGAATATACTATAGGTACAAGACAAATTTTGATTGGCTGCTTTAGAGCACTTTGATACTTAATTTTTTTTTTTTTTTTTAACGCCAAGTTTATTATGTCTGTACCAAATAATATTACAGGCACAGTCATAGCCAAAATTCATTTTTGACAATAAAGAAAAACATGGGTATGAACAGTATTAGTTCCACTTCACAGTGTACAGACATAATTAAAGAAAAAAATAACAGTAACCAACTGCTAACCCCAGAAAAATACAAAATTCTATATTGCTGACACTTTCATTCTTTCAGCGAATAAGCACAAATATCTCTCTCAGATGAACCACTTACATGCAGCAACATAAAAGGAGTAGTAAAGCAAAAGCACTATGGAAAACCACTAAGCAAGAAGAACACTTGAATGCTTGATTGCCTTTGCAGCTCACTGTAGAATACCTGAAACATGAAAGCTAAATGCATTACAACTAAAACAGTATGAAAATTATTTTTGTCACTTTGACTTAACCCTTTTTTGTGGTCATTCATGCCTAGATGGCCTGGCCAAATTTAGCAGCGTCAGCATATGATAGTTAATTTGACAATAACTCTAGGACTATTTTGTCTAACTAAACATTTTTAAGGAAATACAGGCGTACATCGGTTTATGAATTTAATTCATTCTGCGGGACTTTTCGGATTGCAAAAGATTTCTAAAACTGAAATGTGGTTTCCCATTGGAATGCATTGAAAACCAATTAATCCGTTCCGGAGGTCAGAAAAAAGTAAAAAAGTAAGTCTTATCTGTTCAAAACTCTTTATAAAGTGCACTTTAAAGGTATAGTACAGTACAGGGACATGATAAAAAAAATTTCGTAAATGCATTGAAAACCAATTAATCCTTTCCGGAGTTCAGAAAAAAGTCAAAAAAAGTTTTCTGTTCAAAGCTCTTTATAAAGGCATAGTACTGTACAGGGACATGATTTAAAAACAATTCATAAATGCATTGAAAACCAATTAATTTGTTTGTATTGCGAAAAAAATTTGTAAACTGAGGCATTATTTTCAATGGAATTTCATTCATAAACCAAAAATTACATTAACCGAGATGTTCATAAACCGAGGTATGTCCGTATAAGGCTTTTATTTGGTATAATGTTTTAATAAAAACCCTGCTCAATTTTATTATTGGCTGACAAATGTGTAAAAACTAAAAAATTTAAGATTAAAAAAGTTTTTTAAAAAAATGAATAAATTATTTTTAAAACTGTAATTGTATCTGACAATAGAGTGCGGTGGCATCTGCAGAGTCATCTATAGGCTGCAGGCCTATGAAGCCTCCAAACTGACTGAAACAGTGATCACAGGACCTGGAGATCCCCTCTGATCAATTCCTGACCATCATTGGGATTTGACGCTGTCAGTGACAGCTGAGATTGAGATCCACCAGCCACACAGTTCGGTTTATTTACTAAAGTTGGAGAGTGCAAAATCAGGCTCACTTCTGCTTAGAAACCAATCAGCTTCCAGGTTTTATTGTCAAAACGTAATTGAACAAGCTGAAGATAGAATTTGATTGGTTTCTAGGTAGATTTGAGCCTGAGTTTGCACTCTCCAGCTTTAGTAAATAAAATCCAAAGTGTTGGTTTGTGACTCAAAAAGGGAGAATGTTTATTAATAAGCCTTTACAACAGGGAATCATGCTGAGGAATGTTAATATACAGATATTGGGAAGGAAATGGTTCATGTATACATGGGACAGTATACTTAATTTGTGTTATAAAAATAAAGGCAGGCATAAAATGGTTGGTATCTGTCAGTCAGCAGTTGTAGTTATAGGACATATATATAGCTGGAGTGTCTGATTTACTATGGGACAGAAGCCTGCTATTCATTTAACACTGCAAGAAATAAACACGTGGAATATAATTCTTATTTTTTGTATTCGGCACATTCACAAATGCACAGAGATCTGTACAGCATGAAGAAGTCTCTTAGATTGTAAGCTCCTAACCCTCTTGTATTGAACTGTATCTTTGCTGTATTGTCTCCCGTTATATTGTAAAGCGCTGAGCAAACTGTTAGCACTACATAAATCCTGTATAATAATAATAATAATAATAATAATAATAAAAAGGCATTTGTTTATGTGGTAGGGAGGTGCCTGGGAGTGACAGGTGTTGCATACAGGACGTCTACAAATTAATGTCAGGCTGCGGCTGTATGCTGGTAACCACACAGTCAAGCGTTACATTTGTATGGGGCAATTGTGTGCCCCTGCCCACATGGAAGAAAAATATATTTGAAATATATTTTAAAAAATATTCTTCCCAAATATATTACCATATTCAATATATTTCAAAATATATTTCAATAAATATATATATATATATCTATACATATATATATATATATTGCATGTTGAAATGCGTTTTTATTAGAAAATATATGAAAAATATTTGTAAAAATACATTTCAAATATACGGTATGTCTTTAAAAAGTACAAATCTACATTTTTGGAATGCATTTACAAATATATGTAAAGATATATGTTAAAATTACTTTTTTATATGTTAATAAAAAATCTGAATAATATATTTTAAAAAAATATATTTTTAAAAATATATTTTTTTTAAATATATTTTTCAGATTTTTTTAACATATAAAAAAAGAAAAACTTTCCTTATATTCTAGAGTGGGCATAATCTAGGCCTCCATTGTCTTCTGTAGAAAATGCCTCCTTTACTTCCTGGTAATCATCCTGATATTAGGGACATGAAAACTGTCAAGACTCAGGAAGTAGTTCAGCAGCTGACCTCATTAACACACATCCTGCACCTGCCCTCCCCCTCCAGGAGATTGCTTCCCCCTATTTCTGTGCTCACATGCAGACATTGTCAGTGTGCACCGTTCTCCCGGAATACACAACCAGTGTCTTCCTTGAGTTGTACCTTATTTTTTTCTTGTATAGGTAGTTCATTTGGCAGAGTGTGCAGGAGCTGAGCGATCACATGTGGAGCTAAATAATATGTATGGAATGTGTTAACGATAACAAGAAAAGCAGTAAAATAGATCCCGTGCAGCCATCAGCAATAGACCCCCAAGCAACAATGGACCACTTACAACAAAATACTTCCCCAGCAAAAATAGACCCCTGACAGCATCCACAGATCTCGTTGCAGCCAGTATCAATAGACCCCCTCACACAACAGTATATCCCTCCCAGCTACAACTGACCACCTGGAAAAATAAGACCCACCCCCAGCAACAACAGATCCTCCAGCAACAATAGATCCCCCAGCAGCCATCATCAATAAGACTCTACAGCGCACCCCAGCACCCCTTGCCATTACTCACAGTCAGTGCTGGAGGTGCCGGAACTGTATTCCCCCGTATTCCCACTGAAAAAAAGATCTGTCTTTATACACATAAAATGAACTAGTCATGCTTTTGGTGCCATTGTTGGTAATGGCACCCCAAACACAAAAGCAAACACATTTTGCTGCGTGCATGCTGTAAAAAGCATGCAAACTGCAACACCAAAATGGGCTACTTTGCCGCATTTGTTGCATGTAGGGTAGCCCTTTGAAATCATTGAGCTGCCCTGTGTGTGTCATGGGAAAAACATGCGCTTCCACTACATTAGATTTGAATGGGGCGTGAAAAAGTGAAATTGGTATGTTTTCACAAGAACAATGGCAGCTGAGTATCTCTGTCTACTTCTCCCATGTACTTGTATAAAGCTGGTCATACATTATGCAATCTGATTGTACAATTCCTTTAGATTTACCAAAACTATGTACTAGAGAGACCTACTTGTACAATCCATTCAATTTGCATCAAATCAGGCATGCCCATGCACTACATATCTGATGGTAGATCTAAAGAGATTTTACAAACAGATGGTACAGTGTATGACCAACTTTATACAGGAAGAAGTGGGAAAGCTGGTGGAAATAAAAAAGAGGTGGTACATTGATAAAAGGTGTGCTCCAAAATGGTAAAACACACCCTATTCTGTGATGCAGTATGGTAGTGAATGATGTGATAAGAAGTTTCTTGGAAGGTCACATGATGGTACAGGAAGTCAGGGCTCAGAATTCATTTTTTCACATTTTGAACACAGGGGTGAAGATTCAAAGCTGCCATGGACTAGGTAAGTTAGAGATAAGCACATTGGGATGACATGGGCAAAAAAGACATTAGAAGAGGCTTCTATTGATTATGAAAAGCGAAATTCTGCCTGAAAAGGTCAACTTAGCCTTTGACCTCTTTCCGCTATATATGTGGCCTCTCGGTGGGTGGGCCTTAACGCAGAGAGGCTGCATATATTCATAGCAAAACGTAAATGATGCTCTGCCGAGAGCTAATTACTGGTGGGTAATGAAAAGCTCCCGATCTCTACTTACGATCGTGAGCTTTCCGATCATGTGACCACTGTGACAGCCAATAATGGCGGCCACATGACCAAATGCCCTCCTAGGTTTCCTGGCATCTGAAAACTCTTAAAGGGCTAGGAGGCATTAGCGGGAAGGGATAGAGGATGCTTTGATTAGTTATATATTGACTGCAACAGGATGACAAATTCTGGAATTTCTCTGAGAAGACTCAAAGACCAGCAGTCTTCAAAGACCAATGGATGGCTAGCCTTGGATGACAAAACAAAATGATGTCGCTATTTACTCCTTTGTACTTGATTGTTGTACATCAGAATCTTTTTTGCAACACAGAATACTCTGGAACTTTGATGATGCAACAAAATACAACAGAGGATTAAGAGTGGTACTGACGCTGCTAATGGCGGTACATACTAAGTAAGCTAAATACAGCTTAGAAGCAGGCGTATTAGCAATTTGGAGATTATGAACAAAAAAAATGAGATTTGCTGGCCCAAAACAAATTACAAATATACAAAGGACAATAATGGCTAAAACAACAGCTTGTTTTTTCCTATCTGTGTTACCCATTTTGGAAGAACTTAATCTTTTGATGGTTGCAGCATAACAAAAAGCTGTGATGATAAGAGGTAAGAAAAAGAAAAGTGCCGTAAAAGTGCTGAAATAGTACCGATAGAAGCTGCCCACTTCCTTGTCATTTCGCACATCATGGCAAGTGGTAATAGCCAAGATATCAATGTAGAAGATTTGTTGAGTTATAAAAAGTGGCACGGTGCTTGCTATGGATATCAGCCAGATAAAGAAACATATTATCCATGCCCTAGTCATAGAACGCCAGGAGAGGGACTGTATTGGATAAATGACAGCCAAGAACTTGTCCACACTCATACTTGTAATAAGCAGGATAGAGCTATACATGTTGAAATAAAATGCTGCAATGACAATATGGCATAACGCTTCTCCAGCCCGCCAGTTATTTCCAGAAAATCTATACAGAATATTGAAAGGCATCATACAAACAAATAGCAAATCTGCAATTGTCAGATTTAGCATGTACACCACTGCTGGCTTTTTAACTTTTATCTTAATCAAGAATATCAAAGCTGCTGCAATATTCAGAGGGAGGGACAAACAGAACACTGCCGTGTACACCCCTGGCACAAACTTGGTCAACCATTCGCTGTGGAGAAGTTGTTTTACTTCCTTTGGAACTCTTTTGTATGGATTGTTCTGAAAACTGACATACAGTTTGGTGCCGTCGCTTTTGATAATTACTGCTCCTGAAAACAATAACAAAAATAGCAATTAAAAGGTTGACAAATGCTGTGGCTGCTGAATTTTAATATTACGACACTTACCTGTCCAGGCATCCAGCGGTGTCCTCACTCCGAGGCGATTCTTTAGTCGGCTGTCGGGTTCTGGCGCCTCCATCTTGACTAAGGGAAACTGGCAGTGAAGCCTTGAGGTTTCCTAGTGAGCATGCATGAAGCATGCTGTGCTTTGTGAATGGGCTGCAATCCTCCGGGACCTTGGAAGTGTCCCAAAGGGCTGCGGGGGGTGTCGAATTTCTGGCTCAGTTTGCTGCAGTGAACTGAGAAGGAAGTGGGAGTGGGTACTAGGTACCTGCTCCCCCCTCCCCCCTAAAAGGTGCCAAATGTGGCAGTGGAGGGGGGAGGAGGCAGAAAAGTGCAGCTTCCACTTTTGGGTGGAACTTCGCTTTAAGCACTAGCTACACTGAAGACTATTTATAAACTAGAGGAACCAGCCAAACAAATGAAAAAAATGTATGCATTCATTGATGACTAATATCTGAGGCTTTACTAAGGCCCTAAAAGTCCTAAGGCACCCTTAAGTACCTTAAAAAAAATTAAAGATTGCCACAGTGATCATGCACATTGACCATGCAGTCCTGATGCTTATGTATTTTAATCCAAGAAGTGCATTGTCCACAAGGCAACCTAGGCAGGAGCCTAGAACCCGTGGGTGTCCAAGGGTCCCAGCTACAACCTTCATATTCCTGCAGTAAACCAAGCAGAAATCATGAATGGTTAAAGCTGGGTTGGGTTGGCTTCATTTGCCTATTACACAAAGATGAGGGCCATGTTCTTCCTCAATCCATCTCTGTTTCTTTCTATTCTCTCTTTGCTGTCCCATCAGCGCCCCTTAGTACATTGTGTATTACAAACTTCTTTACATGTCTTTGTTGCTAATTTCCTACCTTTACCAAATATGTCATCCATCTTCTGGTTCACTCAGTAGATGCTCTGAAATAGCCTATTCATTTCAGATCAAACCAGTAATTTTTTTTTGTTTCCGGTTTGTAAGACCAGTGGCTGCTATGCCTCCTATTTCCCCAGCCACTGGTCTTAGCACATCCCTTCTGTAGTTCTTTCTGTGGAAGCAGTGATGTAAATCAGCCCCACTTGCAGTGGTGGGCAGACCGAAACTCTCACACATTGAACATGTGTAGGCCTAGTGTACCCTCCCCCATTCACTACAATTCCCTGTGGATGATGGGAACTGTAGTTTCCTTTTAATGCACAGAGAGAGAGAGGAGAGGATATGATGTAATCCCTGCTGTTACACTTCCTCCTTGGCAGAGCAGATGCTGTTATCTTTTGAATTATAGAGATGAGGTCAAATTCAAATAGACTTTTCTACAAAATGGTAAGGATTTTCAAAACTGTATTAACTGTTTAATGTTTTGTGTAGGAGGGTGTACTAATGGGTGATCTTATGCCTACCCGGAGTTCTACTTTAAACAGCATAAAAAGGTGTCTGTATGTCCATCATGAAGAAAGATAGTTCACACCTAGACACAAACTATTAGCAATCTTGCCCTCTCTAGTCCTAGGATCTAGGCTACGTGGCTGGAGATCTAGGGTCCTGCTTCAAGAACAAGGGCCTAGCAGCTCCCATGTCTAAAAGCATGTTATGTTTTCTGATAATATGCTGCTTGAGAGGTTGACCAGTTCACCTGGGAAACTATATGTTCCCTGTTGCTGTTAATATTTTTGGTGGCCAGTGCATCTCAATCACATTTCTCTCCCAAGTACTGTATATTTGTTGTATTACTGCATACACTAAATATGCAAGATGTAATATATTGCAATACACAATATCATTTATGAAGAAATTGAACATTTTCAAATTAAAAGACTGTTTTAAGAAAAGCCTGGATTATTTTCTAGAAACACAGAATATAACAGGATACTTACATTTATAGGTAAAGTTGATCCAGGGAATATCCAATTTCCTCTCAGGGGATCAGGAAGGAATTTTTCCCTGCTGGAGCAAATTGGATCATGCTTTGCTGAGGTTTTTTGCCTTCCTCTGGATCAACTGTGGGTATTGGATAGAGTGTTGTTGTTTTTTTTTCTGTTGGTTGAACTGGATGGACTTGTGTCTTTTTTTCAACCAGATTAACTATGTAACCATGTAAAAGTGTTAAATTAAAACTAAAGTTTTGGAAGTGGACTTTTGGAGTGGACAGGGATTAGAACACCTTTCAGTTTTTATTGCTTCCTGTGTCCCCATTGGGAAGATTTGCTTACCTCCCAACTTTTTGAGATGTGACACCTATCAGCAAATGTATGTAGGCATAGGACACACCCCATGCCATATCCCCTTAAAAGGAGAATTTTACAAAAAAAGATTAGTTAAATCCACAAGTGCTTTTTAACCAGTACTATTCCTTTATACTGTCATTTGAAGTCTACAAATTCAGCAATTTAGAAATTGGATGAAAAGTTTAGCAAAAATAAATAGTACATTTTTTATACAACCATATAGATCAGACCAAAATGAGGGACAAATCAGGAGGAATGAAGGACAGAGGGACTTTGTTCCAAATGAGGGACAGTCCCTCAAAATCAGGGACAGTTGGGAGGTATGAGATTCGACTTTTTTGTCCTGTTTACCAGTATCATTGATAGTGATAATAAAAGAAAATCCCATATTTTTATAAGAGGGAAAATCTTCCAATGAGGACACTATTTCTGGTGACCTGGGGGGGGGGGGCGAAGGGATTCCCTTAATTAGAAGGATTTCCTCTCACTTCCAGTTTTGGCTATGGGACAGGAAGTAAATGTAAATCTTCATAATCTTCATAATTAGCTGCTGGATTGCTTTTACAAGCAGAGGGAAGGGACTCACTCCCGCCTTCCACGGTTTTCTTGGGCTCTTCAATTCCACCGGGGAACCCAAGAATGCATCCGGCAGTTCCGCTGGCTGACCATAGAGCTGATGGATACCAGAATGCCTCCAGTCATCTCTATGGTCTAAGACAGGGGTGTCCAAACTATGGTCCTCAAGCTGTTGAAGTACTACAAGTCCCATCATGCCACTGTCTCTGGGTGTCTTGCCTCTGGATGTCAGAGTCTTGCAAGGCCTCATGGGACTTGCAGTTCCTCAACATCTGGAGGGCCATAGTTTGGACACCCCTGGTCTAAGAGAACGGAAGCTACGAGCATTTTATCATTTCCGTTTTGCCGGATATCAACAACGCCATTTTAAAATTGGGAAAGCATCTGATCACACAGATCTTGGTGTGATCAGATGCTTTAGGGCAGGGGAGAAATCCTAGAGTCTAATATACCCCAGATTTCTCAGAAAAGAGTACCTGTCACTGCCTATTGCTATCACAGGGGATATTTACATTCCCTTTGATAACAATAAAAGTGATAAACAAAATATGAAAGGGGCAGTGTAAAAATTAAAAAAAAAGCAAAATAAATGATTAAAAAAAATTTTTCACCCCCACCCCCGTGCTCACGTGCATAGGCAAACGCAAGCAGCGATATGTAAACAGAGATTGCACCATGCATGTGAGGTATCACCACAAACGTCAGATCAAGAGCAGTAATTGTAGCACTAGACTTCCTGTGTAAATCTAAAATGGTGACCTGTAAAGGCTTTTAAAGCGTCGTCTATGGGTATTACACATTTATGTAGTTTGTCACTGTTGCACAGACATGTGCAATTTTAAAGCATGTCATGTTTGTTATCCATTTACTCAGTGTAATGCCATATTTTGTGTTTTTATGCATTAAAGTTCTAAAAAGTGTATTTTTTTCCCAAAAAATGTGTTTGAAAAATTGCTGTGCAAATACTGTGTGACATAAAAAATTTCAACAACCACCAATTTATTTTCTAGGGCATCGTCTTTAAAAAATATATAATGTTTGGGGGTTCAAAGTAATTTTCTAGCGAAAAAACAGTTTTTTTCAGAAACAGTGTCAGAAAAGGCTAGAAGAGTGAGTGATGTGTGGCATAAGCTTCTAATGTTGGCCCTGGATAGATCATATAGTGAACTCGGTGTAGGGCTATTCACCATGAGGTCAACACAGAGGACAAAGGGGCACTCTTTACGTCTGGAGGAAAAGAAATTTAATCTCTAAACACGGAAAGGTTTCTTCACAGTAAGAGTTGTGAAAATGTGGAATACACTTCCTCAAGAGTTGGTTTTGGCCAGCTCAGTGGATTGCTTTAAAAAAGGCCTGGATTCTTTCTTAGTATCCAGTAATATTCTGTGTATCTAACATTTATAGGTAAAGTTGATCCAGGTAATATCCGATTGCCTCTCCGGGGATCAGGAAGGAATTTTTTTCCCCCTGCAGGAGCAAATTGGATCATGCTTTGCTGGGTTTTTTTGCCTTCCTCTGGATCAACTGTGGGTGCAGGTTTATAACTTTTTCAGTTTTAATAGTTGAACTGCATGGACTTTTGTCTTTTTTTCAGCCAGACTATGTAAAAAAAAAAAAGAAATGATATCTGAAAAATACTCACCATGCCTCTTATCAAATTCCTTGGGTTGTCTACTTTTTTAAAAGGGGTCTTTTTTTGTTTATATCACAAAAAATAAAAAACCCAGTTGTGATCAAATACTACCAAAGGAAAGCTGTATTTGTGTGAAAAGGGCATAAAAAAAAGCCTTTAGAATCACTTTAGTATTCATCAGAGATATATTTTTCAACCAGTAGATGGCAGCGTTTACAAGTTTTTAGCTGCATCTATCCATAAAACTCTGTCTTTTCCTGTTTCCTGTTTGCAGAGAAGCAGCAGATAAACACAGGTGGACTGTGCACTGTCTGTTGTGTAGGGCTATATACAGAATGTCTAACAAAGGGCACAACTTTAGTCAGTTTATTAAAAAAAATCATTCTCACACATGCTTACCAGGCATTCCCACGATTCGCTTGACTCGTGACTTGGCATCACTAAGA